ACCTATTTTGTAAGAGTAAATATTAATTTAATAAATTTTTTTTGTTTGTTTTTTTAATTTAATTTACCTAATTATCACATTTCAGGGATTATAATGAGTTTTTAAACAGCCAATGTAATTTTTTATAAAATTTTAACTTTTCGAACAAATCAAAGAGGAATGAGTACCTGTATATGCATAGATTTTTTTGGGACTAAAACTACCAAAACAAAGGCACCTATTTACAGCAGTTTAAAATGAAACAATTTGACAAAAACGCCTATGTCACAGTGATAAATATTAAAAACAACCAAGTTCAGTTGAATGTGGTAGCAAAGTCTATATATTCCAATAAATCGGGTAACTACATGTGGTATCACTGGTGATAAATTTAAAAATATCACAATTCTTGCCACCTTTTTCAAAAAACCAGAAAGTGTGCCTTCATACCAATCCTTTATGAAAATGACAACAGTGATAAATGTGAAAAAAAAAATTTAATGTTGCTATTCATTATTACGATAGTAAAACATGTTTGCAGTTCCGTTTATTTGTTATGAAAATCTAAGTAAAAACAACCAATGTCAAAGGGTTATAATTTTTTTTCTGTCGAACCAAATATATCACAAAATTTAAAAATTGATCATAGGTCAAGCTAAAGTAATATCTTTATTGATACTAGCTTTAAAAAAGGAGAAAGAATAATATTGACTTAAGTTATTATTATTAACATTGGTGATTTTTAATAAAAACTCTTCAATTATTGTTTACAAACAAAAATATAAAAATCTGTGAAAATTTTATTTATTAACCTTTTACTAAAAAATGAGAAAAATGAAGTAAAAAAACAATTTATTTACAAATAAAAAATATATACAAATCCTAAGAATATAAAAGTACTGATATATTTTCCTGTAGTGGATGAAGAGGTTTCTTTAACAATCTAGCCAAGTGTACATCAATATTTACGCATTTTGATAAATTAGAGCCTTTCCAATAACACTGAGTAGATGTTACAGATGGTTCCTCACTTCTTCTATGAAGCCACATATTTACAACCAACTGAAAAAAATAAAAGGGTTAGATATGCAGTTACAAAATAACTATATAACCAGCTACAAAATGCCTTTATTTTATGTAACAAGACGAGTAGAGCTTTACTAGCTCTGAACGAATCCAGTAAAGAACCTCGGATTTTCAAAACTTAAAAAAAAACAACCTCACCACATTTTCACATTTTTGAAATATTATAGAGCTTTTCAAAAAAAACTGCTATTTTTAAAAATACAATTTTTTGTTTAAACAGCTATGTCTCATTTTAGGCTATTGAGTATTATAAAATAAAAAATTACGGGATGCTTTGTTAGCTTCAAACGAATCCAGCAGAGCACCCCAGTTTTTTTTTAAACCACACCACGTTTTTTGGCTCCTACAATATTATAAAATATTCGAAATTTGGCATTTTAAAAAAGATTCGCAATTCCTTGCTGACTTCTAAAAACAAATGTACTTACCACATTTTTAGGATTTTAAAACAGCCTAAACATGTGTCATAAGTAGTTGTTTATATATATATAAAAAAAAAACAAATTAAAAAACTGAAGTGTCCTGCTGACTTTGTTCCAACAAAGCACCCTGTATTATTTAAAAATAGCAATTTTTTTAGTAAAGTTTTACAATATTTCAAGAGTCTAAAAATATTCTAAAAATGGGGTGTGGTTTTTGAAAAAAGCTTTAAAAAAACCGAATTGCTCTGCTGGCTTCTTTCGAAGGTTAGCAAGCACCATGTATTTTTAAAAATATAATATTTCAAGTTGCTGTTTTTACAGAAAAAACTTTATAAAACAGAGGTGCTTTGCTGACTTCGTTCGAAGCTATAGAGCATTTTAAGTTTTGCAAAAAACGAGGAGCATAAAATTTTTGAAAAGGGTATAAAAATAGCCTATTCTTTGGTATCATAATTATTACTAGGTTCACCAACAAAATCTGTTTCTAGATTATTTTAACACTTGCTGCGATTACAAAAAATGTCTATATGTCAAAATTAGAAAAAAAATATTTATAGTAATAAAGGGCCTTATACACTGTTTATTATATGTAATATAAAAACAAAAAAGCATAATAAATATTACAAACCTTGACATGCAGCATATTGTGCACTAAAATTTTCATTTTTGTTAATTACAACAACAACATCAGAAGGTTTTTGCCGTACTTTATGTTTAGGTGTAATTTGTCTCCTTGTCTCTTATGGAAAAAGAAATTATCCCCATATTCTTGCTTGGCAGATCTAAAAATAAAACCTGAGATAAATACGTTTTACTTGCTCCATATAAACTGTAACTACCTACTATTAAAACAAAGTCTTACCTTTCTAACTTTTGTAAACTGAGTATTGTTAAAAAATGCAGTAATCATCTCGGTAATCATATTTTCGTTTACAATGGGTAAAACACTTGATTCAACTTTTATAAATCCAGCTGATTCATATTAATAATAAAATTAAACCAAAACCAGGGCTGGATACCAGCCCTGACCAAAACAAAAAACTAAGGTTAGGTGCTGTCAATTTTGATGTCACTTAGATGTGCGTTCACTTCGACATTCTGTGTGTCGGTTTGTTCGTTGGCTTGGTTTTGTATAACAAAAAAAACTTCGACACAAGATGATTGGTATATTCCCGATGACGTATAATTTCAAATTTTAAATTTCAATTGGGCTTAATTTAAAAACTTTTGGCTTTTTTAACGAACTGACTATTTAGAATAACTTGTATAGCGACTAACTATTACAATATAATTTATAAAACAGCATATCTCACATGTGAACATGGCCCAAAAATTAAAGATATAAGAGCAAAAAATCACAAAACTATTTATCAGAGACAACAAACCAGAATATAAGGCTGAAGACACACACGGCTGTTTCCGCCGCATCGGCGAATGCTGTAATGTAAATAAATGGAGTTGTTCACACTATACTGCGCGTATTGTCGTTCGACTCAAATGCATTACTTTTGTGAATCGCTTCGTGTGTTTTGGCAGAGGCGGCCAGCCGAGTCGGCGGAAACAGCCGTGTGTGTCTTTAGCCTAACACTAATTATAATGTAATGTATATACTAGCTTAGTTAACTTCACTAGATAGTATCAACCGATTGACTGAATAGAGTCCGCAACGCTTGCTTATATCAGAGACAACAGAGACGTGTAAAAGGAAAATTTGTTCGGTGGTCCATATAAATTACATATATGACTTTCTTTCTCTTTTACATTGATCTTTACATATATTTATCTCTCTCCAATAAAACTAACACCAATCTAAGAGGTCGCTGATGTTGCTGGTTTTTTGACGTCGACGTATCGATTAGAACTGACAACTGACAATGTTATGAATGTTGTTATGGACGTGTGCATTTTATTAAAATTAATTTAATTTGGGCTCCGTTTATTTCTTTGAGTCTGATTTTGTTGTTTAATTAATTTTCTTTGGGGGGGGGGGGGAATGTTTAATTTCGCATATTATTTTTGCATGAAGCAATTTCTGGAATCAAACTCGCGTTTTTGTACACGTTTCTTTCTAGAGGTAAGTAATTTTCAATTTATTAAGAAAACTACTGTATAATGTGTGTGTTTAATAATATATTACAAAATGGCTATAATTATTTTAGGTGAAATGGAACAGAAATCCATTGTTACAGCTACTTTTGTTCATTAAGTAGGTAAATGGGTGTGTTAAAACATAGGTTACGATTTTCTCAATATTTTAAATGGAATAATCTGTAATAATTAATTGGTTGTATAACATATAGGGTATTACATTCAAAAAATTGGGAAAATTTTGACACACCCTATATACAAGATAGCAAATAAATGAAGATATTAAAATTGTTTGAGGATGTAAAAATAATAATAATAAGTACCTGCAGGGGGCTGTCAGAATGCGCACTCTGCAGAGGGTGCGAACATGAAGATGAGACCATCGAACATATCCTCTACGATTGCTCGACGCTCTCATTTATTAAGAGATTCGTGTTCGGCGAGTATCGGCTAACACCGGCCGATATTAGAGAAGCACCTTTTGGTGACGTTGGTCACCTATATTAAATTTGTAGGCTGGCTCACGAGCTATGAGGTGTTTATCATTTTAGGAGGATACACAATGGGGCTAGTGAGGTCTAAGTGCCATGGGGGTAACCCTCCATACGTTACAGATACAGAAGTACCTGCAGGGTGGTTGCTTTAAAAATAGATAAGTTTGGCCAGCCCCTCGTTTATGTACCATCCTGCATATTTAAGAATATTTATTAAACATGGTCATACAACTTTTATATTACTTTTTATTTTCGTATGTCAAATAAAAAAAATAGTTATCGATCAATTACACTCTGATGGGAGACCCTGTATATGTGTTATTGGCTAACATGTCCTTGGGATATGTAAATTTATAATAAAGGTTATGCTAAAATAGTAGAGTAATGCATTTGAAAAAATTAAGTAAATTGAACTTAAAATTAGCTATATTTAAGACATATGTTTCAAAACACTCTGTATAAAATAAACCAGTTTTATCAGCACTATTCGTTAGCTTAGTATCTCATGAGTATGTATATTAAATAATTTTGAAATCAATGTAAACCTACCTATATTATGATAATTTAATTTGATTTAATTTAATTAGAGAATGATGCAGCATTCTCTAATTTCAAAAAAAATTAATTGCTTGGCAAGATTAAAATATTTTTTAAATACATTTTAGGTTTGAATACAGTATTACCAAACGATTCAAAAAAATAAAATAAAATACAGGGTATTCTATTTAAAAAACATATATTTTTATTTGCCAGGTAAAAACGTGTTTATCCAAAAATATTATTACAGTATTTATTTTTCAAATTCATACAACTTTCATTTTAAACTTGTTTGCGTGTCTATAACTCAAATCTAAATATATAACAATTACGCACTAATGGGTATAATAAAATTGCCTATAGCTCTCAAAAAAAAACGCTTGTCGATACTTACCAATATCACAAGATTGCAATATAAACTGAGGTAATATAACCTTCTTTTCTGTTTCCACATTAGAATCCACAATATCTTGAATATCACAATCCACATCAGTTAAAATTAACTCCATCATCAAAGACATCATGTTATCTTCCTTTGTAGCATGATAATTGATTATTTCGCTAAACATATCTTGTGTTATGCTAGTGCGTTTATCGTTAATTAGATTTTTCAAGTTTGTCGTCTTTATATTAACAGTTTTCATCAAATCTCCAGTGGTATTTTCTTTGACTAACGTTTTATATTTCGAGTAATTTATTATAGATAGTAATATCTTGGTTTCCGTGTTACATGGGGTGACCATTTCAGCCAATTTTTCGTTCGGAGGGAAATTAATATCAACAGAATTAACGACTTCTTCATTCGTTTGAGGTTCATCATTGCTGCAAGATTCAATTTCATAAATATGTTCAATTTTAATTTTAGGATTAATTTTTTCTATTAATATAGTTTTGTGTTCCTCGATAATGGGAAAATCTAGAGATTCGTATTGTTTAGGAAGAGATTTTTTCAGTTTTGATATATATCTGGAAGTAAAAATAATTTCTACCGTAAAAAGCATTTCTGGCTTGTATTACCAATAAGTCCAGTTTCGTATATTAAGATGAACCAACATATTTAATGTAATTTATTTGACAGGTAATAAAAAATAAATGGTAAAATTATAATTTATCATTTTATTATTTCGTGTTCAGTATTTTTATTTCAGAAGATTTATAGGCCTATCTTTGAATTTAAATTAATAAAACTATTCAGTTTTGCACAAAATGTTAAAAGTAACTTTTTTAAAATACATAATATTGTCCAATAACTGTTGCACAAAATGTCTACTAACTTATTTTTCTTTGGATTTCTGCTATAAGTGTATTTGACTTTCGAAACATAAAATTCAATTTACAGAGAATTAACTTTAAATGACCTTAGTCGTTTTTGCTTTGGGCTTCTTCAATTACAAAAGTTTTGAACCTTTGATAAAATAGTAAATAAAAATATAATAAATTTAATTTTTTAACTTATTCTCAGGTCCTGAACATATTAATATTTGCAAAAAATTAAAACTAATTACAATTTTGTAAAAAAAAATTACAAAACTGCAGCAAACTTGAATCAATATAATATATTGTCTTATTTTCAATATTATATCAGATTTTCAACGTATTTGTAGATCCGGAACATATTAATAATTTTTTTTGAATTACATTTTGTTTATAAAATAGATAAATAAAATGCCAAAATGCTCTGCACATTCTTGACATAACTGATACAAGTTTTTAAAACAGCTATTCCAATTTACAACCTTCCATTTTGCATGCAAATATATTTTGTAAAAAAAAAACTGGTAAAACACCTGTTCAATTGCGTATTTGCATATAATTTTGAGAAAAAAATGCAAAATGTTTGAAAGATGCAAATGTTAATTTAATAAATTTTCAAACCTTGACAAGGACCTCGATTTAAAAAAATGACAATTCACACTTTGTTGTCGTAGCAAACATTTTTAAAGTTTTGTAAATTTTACGGTGCGATTTAAATGCCTTCATATAAGTAAATGCAAATTTGCAACGCACCAAGATTAGGGCAAATGATGTTAATTGTCTATAGCAAATTTTACATTGTGAAGTTAAGAGTCCAAATTCATCCTGTTATACCCTTAGATTATATACTACTTTATATTCTTAGGTTTTACCCCCACCCACAAATTTTCTAGAACCAGTTTTCAGCCGCAATTCCCCTATCCTAGAAAATGCCTAAAGCAATTTCATTTAGTTTTAGTGTGACTCGGATAATATTTTCAAAGCATACAATCTTCTACCAGACAATTTTAAATTAATGAAAATATCTCAATTCAAACAAAAACTTTTTGAAAAATTATTTAGCGAACAGTGTTGAAACTAATTATTTCACCTATTTATTTATTTATTTATTTATGCAAATGTGTTATAAATGTGTTATAAATGAGTTATAAATTTATTATGACTTTTCTTCTAAATCGCGATTTCTTACATTTTACTATTAATATTATTTGTTTTTTCTTTTTTTATTTATTTATATATGTATACATATATGTATATATATTTTGGGTTCTTAAGGAAGAGCAGCCTAGCTGATTTTGCGCCCTTTAACCAACGTTTGCCTTTTTCTTATTTTTTATGTATATAGTGAATATTCTATTTTAATTTCCTTGTATTTTGTTGGTTAATAAAGACATTTATTATTATTATTATTATTATTAATATTATTATTATTATTATTATTATTATTATTATTATTATTATTATTATTATTATTATTATTATTATTATTATTATTATTATTATTATTATTATTATTATTATTATTATTATTATTATTATTATTATTATTATTATTATTATTATTATTATTATTATTATATTATGTACGTACTTAGTTAAATTTTGGGCCCAATAGAATTCAAGGAAAGATGGGATAAAACAAGAAACTGCAGAGTTACCAGGGAGCTCTTAAGTTATCCTAACAACACTGCAGCAAACAAATACTTGACTATGACTAAACAATCTGCGCCTAGTCACAGGCATTCTGACTGGTCATTACCAAGTACAGAAACATGTCCATATCATGGGGCCGTCAGAATCCGCACTCTGTAGAGGATGCGAACAAGAAGATGAGACCATCGAGCATATCCTTTACGATTGCTCGACGCTCTCATTTATTAGAAGATTTGTGTTCGGTGAGTATTGGCTAACACCGGCCGATATAAGAGAACCACCTCTTGACGACGTTGTCAAATATATTAAATCTGTAGGCTGGCTCACGAGCTAGGAGGTGCTTATCATCTTAGGAGGATGCACAATGGGCCTAATGAGAACTAAGTGCCGTGGGGTAACCCACCCTCCACACGTTACAGATACAGAGAGAGAGAGAGATGGGCCCAATTAATTTTTTTATGAATTTGATATCGTGCGAAAATGAGGTGGAGGTTAGATACTTATTTTATTAGTGATATTTATTCGTATATTTGTATCGAGACTCAGTGATCGAGACCCTAAAAATAGAAAGAATAGAACTGTATAAATACTTAAGGTCCATGTTTAATAAGGAAGGTGGAAAGGGTGTGCGGGAAGGCTAATGAGTATTTCTGGTGGAAATAAGTAAATGGAGTTTGGAAAGAGCTATACGAGTTGTATGAAGAACCTATGATAACAAAAATAGTGAAAGCTCCAATAATAAAGTGGTTGGTACATATCTGGAGAATAAGTGAGAAAATTATAGTAAAGAAGGTGTTGGACAGGACAGTACTAAACAATAGAGGAAGGACAAGACCAAGAGTAAGGTGGAAAACAAGTACAAGATTTAAAGACATTGAAAATAAGAAACGGAAAACAATCGCTAAGGATATAGGAAAATGGAAAAATGTAGTGAAGCAAGCCTTGGGCCAATAGTCTTGTTGCGCTCTCCATATATATTGGTATCTATATATTTATTAGGAAAATGGGACGTAGGAAAGATAGTTATTAAAATAAAAGAAAATTTATAACATTATGAAAATTCGAATAAAACTATTTTCTAGGTCAAATTTCGTGCAATATGGCCACTCGTGTTACACAAACCACTATTCTACCACTATTAATTATTAATATTATTCTCAAACTATTTTTGAATGTGAGTTAAGGACTGATTATTAGTAAAAATATTAATTATTTAGTAAGCTTACCTGGTTTCTTTATTAATCTCTTCAAACTTGTCTTCACTTTCGTCAACTATGATTTCAGTAAAATACCATCCAAATTCAGTATCATTAATATCTTCAACGAAACTTCCATCGCTTTTGTACACTCTCATACTTGACCGGTTCTAATGCAATAAGTTTCACTTATCATCCCTATAATTAATTTAGTCAGGATTATTCTAGCTAACAGAAATTCTTTGAGGGGGCTTTACGAGGTTTCAGTCGAGTATAACAGTGTAAAACAAATCCTATTAAGGTTAAATATTCATAATGATATGAGACTTGATATGGAAAATTAGCGAAAAAATCAAATAACGTCAATAGGATTTTATATATTTGTTAAAATTGTCTAAACCGCACCATACTGATTTGGTTAAATTCTAAATTAAAAATAAAATCAGGGTATCGGGAAAGTGATTAATGAAATTAGTAGGGATATACGTTTACCAGGACAAGGAAAAATATAAAAGTACTCGTAAATGGTACAGCTTTGTTAATATGTCGATTATAAAAAAGAGTGAATTAATTAGAGTTAAAGGTAACTTTAAAGTTTATTTAATCTAGAAGGCATAGTAGAATAGTCGTTGTGAAAATAGTAGAAAGGGAGTGACTTGCAGTCATAACAGAACAGGGGCAGGCACATACAATAGAATAAGATGTATCAGGAGGCAAGAGGAAGATAAATTGCAGTGAGTAGCAGAAGAGAGCAGAAGGAAGAAAATAATATACAAGAAATTGATAATTTGAAATGTTTTTAGGAATCGAAACCAATTTTCGTGCGATAATGCAATAAATAGAACGAAGTTATTAAGAGTCTTAAAGAATTTAAATTAATCGAAAATACACTTAAAATAAATAAGCGGACGAAAAATATTTTTAAAGTAGTCGACTTAGTTTGAAGTAACCCAGGGGACCAACTTGGCATTGAAAAATATTGGAAGAATTAGCGGAATAAACTGCCTTTATACGAAATACAAAATTTTGTGTTTTCTTTTCTAAATATTAAAACAGTATGCAATAAGTAGATTAAAATATAAATATTTTATAATTCGTGTTAGGAAAAATTTAAGGATCTCTTTCAGATTGTAGGGATAGTCCATAAGAGATTTAACTTTCAAACAAGTCACTATCTCCCAAAACGTAATCCACAATGATTATTATACTTTGCACATAAATGGACAAAATTATTAAATGATATCTCAATCCTTCTAGATTTAAAATATATGTATATGTAATAACTTCTAAAACAGACACTGGATCAAAACATTCAAGTTTTTCCACCAACACTGCCTCAGAAGTAATTCTATTTTTAAAGAAAATATCGTTAAAAGTGCCTAAATTCAGAGAAAAGTATGTCAAAAAATGTATTTTTAGTAATAATAACTGTTTTTTGTAAAGTTCAAAAAGTTTATAAAATAAAATTTTATGTTCGAACTGATTTTTCTTACTCACCCTGTCAAATTCATCAGACAACCATTTGGACCTAATTACCTATTTCTTTTGTTTATCTAAGATTTTCTCCATTTATGGATTGTAGAAATAACGAAAAATAAACAGAGTATTAACGGCTTTTTTGCAATGTTTATAATATTTATGTTAAATTAATAAGGATCAAAAATATGATTTAGTTGGATCGTTGGTATTTAGCATGGTGGAAGAATACAGATGAAGCGGTAAGCGGTACGAAATTTGGTCATTCTTGCGCATGACGTCACCTTCGGAGCATATTTTTGATTTGCCTATGTCTCCAATGTTAAAAAGCGACTTTTAAAGTTATTCTAATATTTTCCTGGTAGTGTTTAGAAGTTTATAGATATATTTATCTTAATATTTAATATCATTTCTATATATCAATAGGCCTGTTTAGAAATTATTGGTACGTATTATTAAATTAATTTCTAATTAAGTTGGTAGTGTAATTGATATAAAGTTAGGTTATGTAACATTTTTGTTGTATTTTAAAGATAAAAGAAATAGTTTCTATTCATTATTGTTATTTTAATATATCATTATTATTATTATATTATTGGTACATTAAAATCTTCTATATTTTAGGGTATGTAGTTACTAACAAAATTCCAGGTTGTGCAGTGTTTGGCAGCATAACTATTCAAGAAAAACAAAGGGAACAAATATTAAGTATTTTGGATTTCCGAAAACAGATATAGCCAAAGTCTGGGTCAACGGTTGCGGGTGAAAAGATACAATTAATTTGAAAAATGGTATGATTTTTGCAAACCTAATTTTTTAAGCTTGTATTTGTTCCATACATTTTTCGAAGGATAGTTTTGAAATACCCTTACAACAGAGGCTATTAAACTACTCCACTAAGACTGGCAGAAACTTAAAACAAACGGCAGTTTCTACTGAAAATCTCCCATTGAAAAAAAGACAATTGTCTGCAGAAAGTGACGATAGATTAAGAAGGCAGGCAAAAAGATATCGACAAACATTTATTGAGAGCTTTGTTAATATTTCGGGGCATTCCAGACAATTATCAACTGCAGACCAGGACAAGGAGAATCAAAGTTTGGAAACAGACACTCAAAATATATTGGTATCATCAGAACTAGAAACGTATGTACAAATTTACCTTATTAACAAAAAATGTGGCTTTGAAAAGAAAATTACACAACTTAGCATATACTAATTAACATTACAATCATTTCAAAACAATTTTTTTATTAAATATTAAACTTTGAAGTGATAATTGCTTTTATTTCAATATTAACTGTATGTTATTGTTTCAGATGTGACCACCGAAATTAAATTACTATTTTAGAGAAAACTATTAAGAGTCTTCGTGAAGAACTAAACAAAATTACTGAAAAATGCAACAAATCAAATATAGAAATACTTTCATTGAAAGAAGAAATTAGCCAGTTGAAAAATAATTCTCAAGTGGAAATTCAGAAAAGTAAAGATTTTAAGAACTGTTCATTATCCTTTACCTGGGTTTACTACCTTAAGAGACTGGGCTAAATGTTTAAATTTAGAAGATGAAATATACATTATAAAGTGTTAAGCAAGATAAAGAAGTAAACATTATGTATAAACCATTTTTAAACATAAATAAATCAATTTAAAATAACACCTCTGTGCTTTTTATTAAAATAAAGTATGTTTTGCAAAGTGTTTCTATTTATTAAATACATAAAGGGGTTTACCAGCACCCAACCATACAAGAAAGTAATTGATCTGTGCATACAAGTTATTGATGGCCATGTTTGATGACTAATTTAAAATTAAATTATTACATTTATAATCTATAAAAGTGACTACATACTTTCAAACTGATTATTTAAGAAAATTGGCGACTAAAAAAATATACTGATCATAATTCATTTCACCTTAATTTTATTGTTCAGCATTCGTTAACATTATACACAAGTTTATTTGAATCGATTCAAAATTATTTATTGTTGAAGAATTAATTACATTCTTATTAACAAAGATAGATAACATAAGTTAAAATTCAAAGAAAAAGAAACAAACAAAATATTCATAAATGAAATTTTTTATTTTAAAATTTTTTAAATTCTAATATCAAGACAAAATATAATATAAAAACAAAAATGCACAACCTAAGTACAAATATGACAATCGAGAAATATATATACAGGAGTATACACATAAATTAAAATGAACTACTTAATTCAAGGAATCAGAAAAATTTATCCACTTTGTAGTATACCTTTTTGAGCAAGAGTTTCTTGCTTTTTAAACATATTTAATGAGTCAGCACTTCCTATTATTAATTAATTGGCAAGAGGTTAAACATTTTTCCACTATACACGGGACACTACATATTTCAGTTTCACATTTAAATTAGTTATTTGTATATGCCTTTTATTAGTTCCAGTTTTTATCCGTCCTAAGCCACTAAAACTTTTTAATGGTAATGTCTCTGTAAGTTTAGGTACGTTTTGGCTATCATCTTGATCTCAATCTATCAGATAGCAATGCTAGGTATGAAGATTTAAATCCTAGATGTAATCCTCTTCCAAGTTTTGTGATGGAAAAATTCAGTTTCAGATGAACACTGTCTTTTTTACGCCAAAGAGAAACTATATTAGGCTAAATTCCTTAATTCGAAATAAATTACCTACTTTTTTGTATAAAAGCACAAAATATTTTTTTTATTTGGCATTACTTTTGCACAAGCGTCTATCTGCCTATAGTGACTTTTCTTGTATTATTGAGCATAACTTGATGTTATTTGACGCAGTTGTTATTTTCTTCTAAATATATTTTCAGTTTTATAATGATTATAGAACTAGGAAATAAAAATTAAACTTCTTGACAATCATTACAAAATGTAAACAAAGCCATGGAATGGCATGGCAGTGTATAGGCGGCCGTGGCAATACCGATGTTGACGTCATAAAACCTGCGCACCGCTTCACCTGTATCCTTACACCATGGTATTTAGTAGAAGCATCTAGACCAGACCAGGCACCTGCCTGTCAACGGAATGACGGCGAAGGATTTAAAATGTCATATTTGTTATGTTAGAATTATGTATTAAGGTATGTTTTGAATCTGACATTTATTGCATGAGATTTATGTCTGACAGTTGTTTAGTACAGTGTAAACTCACAAAAGTTTCTCTCGGAGATATATGTTTGAGTGTTTACACCATTGATAAGGCAACGTAAGGATACGTCATATGTATTATTTTTGATATACAAAAGTGGGACCGGTAGGCGTGGCTTTTGCACTCACTAAAATGGCGGAAGAGCAGAACCGGATTTACAAGTTTTTATTGTACCTACTATTTCTGGTTAAGTATCATTATTTGAATTATAAAAAAATTATTTTTCTTTTTATTGACATTGACTGGTGGTGGAAGGCCGAGGTTATAAAAGAAGGGGATTTAAAAGCTTAACTATGCCCGGTTTTCAGCCGAGAGGTGTTGAATAAAGTAAATGAAAGAAATAAAATATAACTGATTTAATTATCACTAAAGTGGCTATTAAGCGCTGGAGAATATATTATTTGCAAAATCGCAACTAATCAATGATCATGATATAACTAACTTGGGGCCGATTCCACCATTGGGTTTAACGAAGTTTAAAATGAAATTTTTACATAAAATGTAATTTTAATCTTTAATTAATAGTTTAAACTTTAACACAATGGTAAAATTAACCCTAAAGCGTTGAAATCATTCACAGAAAAAATAAATAATACATTTTTGGTTCACATAAGCGACAAAAGTAAACAGAGTTCGATTTATTGGATCAGTCGTCACACGTTTGCACTAGGGCACATAAATAGCTCAATCTTTAGTTTTTCGTTTTTCTATGAGCTCAATGCTTTCTGTCTTTAAATCGGAAAGTACAAGGTCGCAAATGTCAAGTAATCTAACCTTACTTTAATTAACAGCTTTCTCGAAATTAAGAACATATCTTCATACACTAGAAGCTCGATATTCAGATACGAAACTTAATGCAAGGCTCGCGGAAAATGGCTAAGCAATCTCTGTGTAGTTAGATGCACTATTCAGGAAATCAAAATGTGGATTAATCTTACTTGGTCTTGGTACTTTTGTAGATTGAGACTGAAAGGTGTATATCTTCATGCAAGACATTCACTTAATCAGCGAAGCCACAACAAGCGGTGTGCAGGTGCATTTCTAACAAATGTAAAACATGAAGTGATCTTACTTGAGACCTATAGATCCAATGACGATATTATGGTAGTTGGTTTAAGCTGGGCTTCTCACCATCTGCAGAGATTATGGCTACTTATGTAAAGGCCTACCGTAGTAACACACAACATGCACCACAAGCGTGTATGATTGAAAGTCAGACAAAGAATGTGAAGATAAAGTTGAAGTCTCAACTATAGTTAAAGTTACAGATGAAGTTAAAGTTAACAGCAAACGAGTTGAAATTGTAGGCTGGTGATAAAAGGAGGCCAACATCTAGGTAATAAATGTTTATCGAGTTAGGAAAAGTATCCACTGTAAGTGCTTTTCTTGACCACTAAGGTAAAAACCAGAATATTTCCTAATACACAATTTCTTCGCTAGGCAAAATAAGAAATAAATTTGTGAGAGTACTTCCCAAGTGTTTTTACAAAAGCTCTAAGAACAAAATTGATAAAAATGGCCTAATCCAAATTCAAATTCTAAAACTTGAACACTAAAGATAAGTATCTTACTGTAAAACAAGTAAAACCCCGTTGTTGAATAAATGGTTGAATAATTCATTACCTACGTGGAGGTAGAATAGGGACTAAAGTTTAGCAGAAAAAGCCACTAGAAAAGGTGAACAAAATAGACTGGGGCATATGAACATCAAGCAAATATTGTAAATGAAAATAATGTGTGCTGTGATTAAATAAAAGTGTACAAGGAATAAAGTTTTATTATTTTTTTATCCATATCTAGGAGTGATATTTATTTTTAATACTAGACAAACGGTTATGGTTTTGTTGCTAGTCTTATTAAAAAAAAACTAAGTGAGTATTGATGTTAAATATTTATTATTATAAGAACTTATATGCACTATACAAACTTAAATATCATATTCCTGAATTCATTTCAAGCATAAAATGTCCTATGAACAAATATCCAATTCTGCACGGTT